ATGACAGGTGAGGACGCAGCACCTGATGATGAGTAAAAAGGGAAACAGTTAAACAGCTGTCAGTAACACAATCACTACATTACTGATAACAAAGATGCACAAATGTAAAATCCATGTCGTGGTATCTTTTGGCGAGGCCTCTAAACCCAGAATATATTGGAGCTGGATATTAAAATAATGATTGTTTCCAGCTGCCACATTTATCGTCACCCAAACATTCGTTTGCTGTGTTCGGTAGTGATGGCCAAATGAGGCCTCATGAACCACTGTCTTTATTCTCTGAAGCCACTGGATGGCGCTGTCTGTTCAACAAAGGTTTGAAAGCACATTTCATTGTCATTCCTTCAGCCTTTATCTTCAAACCAAGAGCGTGGAGGTGGAGTTAGAAAATAAAGAAAATGGTTCACGAGGCTTCATTTAACCATCACTAGTGTTCAGCGAGATAAGAACATTTTATGAATCATGAACCCTGGCGTAAGATGAATTCTGCGCTCAGATCTGTGCTGGTTTGTACGTCCCATGGATAAATGAGGGCCAATGTGTCTGTTAAACTCTTTTGGGTATTATTTACATTAACCAACTGAGAAAAAATGTTTTTCCAATGGCATCTGTGAGCTGTTCTTAAAAATGTTAAATGTTTAAATGTTAAATGTTAAATGTTAAATGTTGGGATGTTTGATGACCATGGTTGTGCTCCTCATCTCTCAGCACCAGTGGCTGAAAGCTCTGTTGATCCCACTATATGGAGATAGATTTGTTTCAAAATTATGTGTGTGAACAGATTGACAATCTGTGAGTAAATGTATAATTTGTAAATCGAAAACACCTTCCACAAACACAAAAAAAAGATTTGTAAACTCACAAAAATATTCTGCAAGTATAAAACGGATCTGCAAATACACAAACACATTCCACAAATAAAAAAATGAAAAGCATTTGTGAATATCTTCCTATCTTTTACAACTTTCGAACAGGCATTTGTGAACTCAGTTTTTATTTGTGAATCAAAAAAACATTTGTGGATCTCAGTTCTACGTGTGTGGATTTGCTTTTTACACACTCAGAGTTTTGAAACAAACTTTACGCTGGTCCGAACGAAAATGCACTCGTGTCTAATACTCACAGATATTAGACACGTAATTATGAAACAAATCTATTTGGATGCACAGACTACACTGTAGATACTGAATGTGTCCACTTACCAACAACAAGCTCAACAAAAGAGTCTATATTCAGTCTTGGAATGAAGCA